TACGCGCGTTTTGAGACCATTGGTTTTCTATGTTACCGTTCAGTTGAGCGCGCGCTTTTGATGCGGAGATACGTATTTTAGGGTTCGCTCAGTTCATCCAGAAATTGTCCGAAATGGAAACGGAAGCTTTTAATACTGAATTATTTATAGATGAAATAGAGAAACGTCCTGCGATATGGGACATGACAAGTAGCGTTTATTCAGATAAAAACTTAAGGAGACGGGCTTGGGAAGAACTCGTCCTTATATTCTGTGAAGGGGATGACAATGAAGAAAAGAAAAAATATTATGTGAGTACATATAAATTTATATTTTCAATCAGTATGTGTTACAAATTAAATAATACGACCTAGAGGTCCGCAACATAAGTCATTTGAAAATCAAAATTATCTTAACCCGTTACCACAACGAAGAAATTATTTGCCACAAGAGCAGCGTAGTCAAGCTTCTGTCGAAGACTTTCAACAACATGATTATAGATCACAGCAATCTAGTGTACCAAATAATTTACCACATTATGGTTATACTACAGCAATGTGATCTCTATCGATAGTAGCACACACTCCATCGCCTGCACCAACCAACGCAAGCAGTGAATCGGAGATAGAGTTATTCTACGATTAACAAAATCTTCTTTTTCCTTTTTTTTTCTTTTGCTCCTAAACAAGTATTGATTTATAAATTTGTGTCTTGTTTAATAAAAAACTTACCTCAATGTAATTATGAGTTTTTCTTCTGGTGAAATACTATATCGCACAGCGTTTTTATTTACTACGAGTTCATCGTTTATGAGAGCCAGTAAGTCATCAAATGACTTGATGGACATTCTGAAGTAGTTAAAAAATTTGGATTCGAATTGCCTTAACTCCTAAGTTAAGGCAATTCGAATCCAAATTATCCTAATACAAAATTATGTACTGGCTTTCAGTCAGCCTGTATGAAAAAATTGGGCGGACCTAATATCTCCGTCCTCTGTCGCGTCGTTTCTGCCGTCGGTAAAAATCACCGCTAAAACTGTTTCTACGTCCATCTTCGATAAATGTAGAACTCAAATGAGCCAGGCCAGGGCGGCCACGGCAACGCGCGTGTAACGCCTGACAAGCGCGCACCATGTGAACACTATACAACTTTTACGCGCGTTCAACGCCCGTTGAGCGCTTGTCATCTGAATGTAGCCTTACTTCTACACTCCATAATTCTAAGTCTATGGTACGGAAGGTACCAAACACAAACTAATAGGTTGTACCAAACAAGGAGAGTTCCTAGGCAAAAACTGAACCTGCTTCTTATCAATCCACCCTAAAGAATCCACTCTAAGGTGGATTCTCGGAAACACGTGTCCGTCTATTTACTCCAGACGGGGTGGATAATCGAAATTTACTTTTATTAGATCTTCCGACTTTTCACCACAAGTACAGTTAAACACGTGGGTACATTTTAATTATTAATTGTTTTTATTTTTATTATAACCATGAACCTTATCAAAAAACTTAAATGTTTCCGTTACCGTTACAGCCTATTAAAGTCCACGCATTACGTATTGCATTGAAATCAAATTAAACTTCATCGTTTTAAATAGTATTATTGCTTAATTTATAAATTCTGCAATATATCCAGGTCATTATTAACTCTAATTTCATTACTGTATAGACTTAATTTGATATCCTGGATAAATTCGCCACTTTTAATGTACATTTGCAATCGTTTTTAAATTTCTTTGCTCACATTGAAATAATACTAGTTTTTACGGAATTTATCGCGTATATTTAACTTTTTAATTACCCGACGTTTCGAGAGCTTTACAGCACCCATGGTCACGGGAAGGACTGAGATGTTCAACGTCCAGCTGTCATAGTTAACCGCGGTTACCATAAATTAAAATTTAACTTTTGTTCCGATCTACACAGTATGAACTTAAGGTATCATGGAGTCTTGCAGTTGTATGCTTGGGTTGGGATTTAATTTTATTTATTATAGGATCCCAAGCAGATGGTAGCACCCAGCCATCTTCTCTATTGAAATTAGGATGTTTTTTGATTTCAATAGCCTCGCGAATCATCCTTGGAAGGAATCGGTGTTCTTTAGCGAGGATTTGTGGTCTATCAAATCTGATGTAGTGACGGGGGCGATCCTGTACATGTTCACAGACTGCAGACTTCCAGACTGAACTTCTGTACTTCTGACTTCCGTAAAAACTAGTATTATTTCAATGTGTAGTGTTCGCGTAAATATAAGAAATCATTCTTTGCTCACACTTCACATGTGTTAGCAAAGAATTAGGCGTTTTTTTGCATGCATTTCAAAATTAGCTTTAAATTATTTTATTCCAAGAATTGCAATGAATCTGTTATCCTGTGAGGTACTCCTTTTATTTCAACGTTGAGCTTTAAAACAAGAAGTAAGCATTTATTTTTATAGATAATGGTAAGCATTGTATCTTGAGCCGGTTTTTATAATGTTTCTATAAATGACTACACAGCCGAGGGGGAAAGTCGGAAGAAAATAATATATACGAATTCCGTCTCACCGTACACTACACTTATCACCCGTCTGGGGTGGATAGACGAACACGCGTTTCCGAGTATCCACCCTATTATTCGCCATCAGTGAGAGTGACGAAGACCCACGGCATAGATTTCACCTCGCTCCGACGGCCTTCGCTGGTGTCGTCCAAGCTTAGAGGGAGGTGAGGTGGGATTAGTGTGGTGAAAGGTAAGGCGGGAGTCAAGAGCGTCGATAAAGGACGTCTTCGTACTCATCAGGCGGAAAAGTCCCCTGCCCCCCCCGCCCAAAAATGGCTAATCCCAAGGGTAAGACGAGGGTCCTCCATGCAAATCTTCACCATGCGGCAGCTGCTTCTGCCGTGGTGGAGGTTTGCTTTGTAGAGGACAACATTGACCTCCCCCTTATACAAGAGCCTTGGGTGGCCAACGGTCAAGTTCTGGGATTGGAGGCTGCCGGTAAGATTCTTGTCAACACTAAAGGTAGTAGACCCAGAGCTTGTATGATTTATAGTAAAAATATTGAACTTTTAGCTGTTCCAGAGTACTGTAACGATGACCTGGTTACAGCCTTCATAAATCTCAAGGGATGCACAAGGGCCAAAATAATCATTTCCTCAGCCTATCTTCCCGGAGTTCGCTCGAAAACACGACGCCGAACCTGTCGTGGGTTGATGCTAATGCTCACCACACAGCCTGGGGAAGCACCAACATCAACGAAAGAGGTGAGTTACTTTATGATTTTCTCATCTCCTACCGCCTGGTAAGCCTAAACTTAGGTTGTACACCAACTTTTGTAACGCGTGCTAGGCAAGAAGTGCTGGACATAACCTTTGCTACCAATAACCTGTCGAGGCGGATAAATGACTGGCATGATAGTAGCGAAAACTCGATGTCTGATCACAAGCACATTAAGTTTGTGATTGGAGCATCACCAACCTATGAAACCGTTACTTTTAGGGATCCAAAAGCGACCTCCTGTGATATCTACAGATATAGTCTAAGGAGAAATTTGGAAACGTTTCCTAAAAGCATCAAAAAAATTGAAGGTCTGGAGTTCGCGACGGAGACAGTAACCGTAAGTATCCGTGAAGCCTTCGAGGACAGAGAAATTTGGAAACGTTTCCTAAAAGCATCAAAAAATTGAAGGTCTGGAGTTAGCGACGGAGACAGTAACTGTAAGCATCCGTGAAGCCTTCGAGATAGGGACAGACTTCCCAGACAAAACCAAGACCTCAACACGAAAAGTTCCTTGGTAGAATACTAAGCTAAAAGAACTTACGGAAAAGACCGGGAAACTATTTAATAAGGCTAAGAAAACCAAAGAGTGGGATATTTATAGTGCAGTCCTAACTGAATATAATAAAAAAATTAGGAAAGCCAAAAGAGCATCGTGGAAGAAGCTATCCGAGGAAGTTAAGTCTTTGCCTCGCAGTGCAAGACTACACAAAATGCTATCGAAAGCTAAATGTAATCAGATCGGGTTTCTTAAAAAGCCGGATGGTAACTTCACTATTAGTGAAACAGAAACGTTGGAGTTACCAGCGTCAACCCATTTCCCAGGGCCACACAAGACTTCAGCCTGGAATTCTTTCATAGCCCTACGAAGGCCTTGTAATGAGGACTGGCAGCCCTACTGCAAAGATAATAAGGCCAAACCTGGTGCAGTCGGCTGTAGACTCCTTTAAACCACTTAAAACAAGCGGGGGGATGGAATAATTCCAATCCAACTATAGAGGGGTATCGACATTCTTCTCCCCCATCTGGTGAAAATCTTCAGTGCAAGTTTTGCATGGGGATATATTCCAGAACGATGGACAATTGTCAAGGTTCTATTTATACCTAAGGCAGGTAGAAAGGACTACGCTTTACCAAAGTCCTTTAGACCTATAAGCCTATCTTCCTTTCTGCTTAAGACATTGGAAAAGGCTATAGATAGATATATAAGGGATGTAGCTCTAGCTAGGAGGCCCATACATTACAACCAGCATGCTTACCGCAGAGGCAAATCTACGGAAACAGCCCTGATCAGTGTCATTGACAGGGTCGAAAAAGCACTGGAGGATAAAGAAATAGCTCTTTGTGCCTTTCTAGATATTGAGGGCGCCTTCAACAATAGCCCCACATCACTGCTCATTGGGGGCCTGACATCTAAAAATGTTGACCCTACAACCATCAGTTATTAGTATTATCTTTTATCGTGGAATAATTGGTCTATTTTGGCAATATTTATTGCAAACATTGTGTTTACGTAGTGTGCGGTGTTAGAGCTAATCTTGACAAACAAAGGAAAGGTCAAAGTACGAGAGTTTAATGGAAGTGTTTCGAGTACACTTCCAGTTATAATTCATGCTTGCTGCTAGCGGCTTAGTAGCGCAGCGTGGTATAAGCGGCCACTTCTTGTTTTAAACGTGAAGCGCATTCAAGAATCGGAAGATCGAATCCAGACAAACACCAACACTTTTTGTGAATAATTTCTGACAAATTATTATTTCAAATATGAACTCACCCTGCAGCGGTTGTAAAAAACCAATCAAATCTTCAGAAAGAATTACTTGCACTCAATCTTCGTGCGACAAAAGATATCATTACCTGTGTGTTAATTTGAATGTTGATAACTTCAAAAAGCAGAAAAATTTGAAATGTCCTGACTGCTCCATTAAACACTTGTCAATAATACGTAAGGAAGGAAATAGTGATGATACTCCAATTAAATTGGCGACCAGCAGCGAATTTTTAGACGACTCTCAAAATATTACTGTAAGGCGTCAAAAAGAGAGCGAACCCACTACTGAACACCAAGACTGTGTATCTCGTGCTGAACTAGCAGAAATTATTCGTATGGAATTGCGTTCAGTGATACGAGACACATTAAATGAGGAGTTCGCTAGTATCAAAAAGAAATTCATGCATTTGAAGAAACGATTAAATTTATTAATTCACAATATGATGCTATAAGTACCAAAGTTAAAGTCCTATCTGATGATACCAAGATCGTTTCTACAACTAATGTAATGTTAACTGGCAAGGTCAGGGATTTATAAGTAAGGTTATCACAAATGAAACAGTCTGCCCGTCAGTCAAACGTCGAAATCCACTGCTTACCTGAGCACAGACAAGAAAACCTGGTTAACAAAATCGTTAATATCGGAAAAGTTATTTCATTTCCCATTTTGGAAACTGATATTTTATCCTGTAACCGAGTAAGTAACGTAAGTAACGTAACCGAGTAAGTAAGTAACCTGTAAGCTGCCAAGGACTGTTGTATATAAACTAACAAGTAAAATAAAGCGAGACAACTTCTTAGGCGCTGTACTTACATACAATAAAATGAACCCAAAAAATAAATTAAACACGAAAATCCTGGGTTATGGAGACATTGAATTACCAGTATTCATTATCGAACATCTCACTCCATCCAACAAGGCGTTACATGCAGCTACCAGATTGAGAGCAAAAGAGAAACAATACAAAGTTTGAGTGCGTATGGAAAAATTTTTGTGCGCAAAAATGAGATATCACCAGCACGGGTAAGATTGGAAGCACTGGAAAATCTCGGTTAATTTTTTTTAAAATTTATTATCTGATGCTGTATTAAATTTAAATCTTTCACACACTCTGATTTAAACATTTACTATCAGAATGTTAGAGGTGTTAGGACTAAGCTGCAAAGTATATATAAAAATGTACTGTCAAGAAATTTTCATATAATAATTTTCACTGAAACATGGCTCAACGATTCTGTGGCTAGCACGGAGCTATTTGACAGTAGGTATCAGGTATTCAGGAGAGATCGACAGGCCTTCTACTACCTACTATACTAGAAAGGAAGGTGGTGGCGTTTTAATAGCAGTAAAGAGAAATATAAAGGCTAGAAGGAATACATCCTTAGAAAGTTCTTGTGAAGATTTATGGATTACTTTAGACATAATGCCAAATTACTCTGTTCATATCTGTGCTGTTTATTTACCCCCACCAGTCTCAAGTGATGATCTAAACCACTTCATTAGCACCAAAAGTGTATTTGTACAAAATCTTGATCCTATCCTTCTAGTGGGTGATTTTAATTTGGCTGACCTCAGATCATAGCAATCCAAATAATTAAGTCTAACACAAAAATAAATCAGATATTTATAGAGTTTACTTCATGTAACGGTTTCAAACAGTATAATCAGGTACAAAATAATGACTCTAAAATACTTGATTTGGTTTTATCTAACGTTCAATATCCTATCTCGGTCCGTAAAGCTGTAGATACTTTATCGAAGATTGATAACTTTCACCCGCCGCTAGAAATTTACATATATTATAAAAAAATAGATAAACTTCGATACAATAATTTCAATGTGTATAAGTTTTATAAAGCAGATTATGAAGGTATAAATAGGTCTCTATATGAAGTAAAATGGGATAGTGAGTTTAATAGCTGCCGCTCAATTAATTAATGCTTAGAAAAATTCTATACCATAATTCGAAAAAATATCGAGAAATATGTACCCCTAAAACCATCTGTTAAAAATAAATATCCTATATGGTATTCACAGAGACTTCTCTTAATCTGAATTATATACAAATACCTAAAAAGGATATTGAAGTTAAACTTGCTAGGCTTAATACCAATAAAGGAGCCGGTTTTGATGGATTACCTCCAATATTCATAAAAAAATGTGCTAAAATATTGTCGACACCACTACATTTAATTTACAACCGATCTATCTCGGAAGGCATTTTTCCAAACGTATGGAAAGAGGCTATCGTTTTACCAATCCATAAATCCGGAAGTATCAGTGATATCTGTAATTATCGACCTATATACAGCATACTTTCCACTTTGTCAAAAATATTTGAATCTCTTGTCAGTAACCATTTAAAGTGGCACGTAAAACAACTTCTGAGTGACTATCAACATGGTTTCTTTGCGAAGCGTTCCACAACAACCAACTTAATGTTCTTCGTCGAAAAGGTTTTAACCGAACTAAGTAATGGCAATGAGGTTGATGCCGTTTACACCGACTTTAGCAAGGCCTTTGACAAAGTGGACCATAAAATATTACTGGCTATACTTAAAAACTTTTTTTTTTATTGATGGATGTCTTTTGAGATGGTTTGAATCCTATTTAGAAAATAGAGTTATTGTAAACGGGTTTAGGGTTGTTGTAAACGGATTTGTATCTCACATATTTCAAACCACTTCTGGAGTTCCTCAGGGTTCAGTCCTGGGTCCAATTTTATTTTGTTTGTTTATAGATGACATAAAACATGTATTAAATAACAGTCAGTTTGTATTATATGCCGATGATCTGAAATTTTTTAGAACCGTTAAGTGCACGGAGGACCAGTTACTATTACAGAGGGATATTAACGATCTTTGTAAATGGTATGAATGCAATAAGATGGAACTCAATGTAAAAAAATGTCCCCCACATAAAATTTTCAAGGAAATATAAAAAATTCAAGACTAATTACTATATTGCAGATACTCGTCTTAATCAAGTAAAATATGTTAAAGATTTGGGCCTAAACATTGATTCCGAAATGAGATTCACACGTCATATTGATATCACAATAAATAAGTGTAATAGATTAATAGCATTCATCTCTTGTAACACTACAGAATTTAAGTCCATACCAGCTTTAAAGGCCCTCTATTTCGCATTGATCTGTAGCAATATAGACTACTGTTCCTTTGTTTGGTATCCTAGTTATCAAAACAATATACGTATAGAAAAGGTACAAAAAAGAATGTTAGCTAGACTTAGTTACATCGAAGGGACTTATCACACTTTTAATAGCTATAAGAAAAGACTTGAGCATTATCATATGATACCTTTAGAAAGGCGTAAGGATGTATTAAGTATAACTTTCTTGCACAAGCTCTTAAGTTTTAAAATTGACTGTCGGTCTCTCTTACTTGATATCGATATTACTGTTAGAATTAGTGGACGTCTACATAACTACAAACCGTTTCATATTAAAAAGAGTCGTAATGAATATGGCAGAAACACACTTTTATCATCCTTGTTGAATGCATTCAATTCAACATTTCAAATTGTGATGTGGATATCTATTTTGATAGCTTGAATGTTTTAAAGAGGAAGGTACTAACACACTACACAGTCAAATATTTTTTTTCATTTTAAAGTTTTTTTTTTACTTCTTTGTTCTAATTTTATTATTTTATTGTAGTGATAGTTTTATAGGTTACTGTTCTCCTTAAAGGAAGTCTTTTATTATATGTTGTGTTTACCTTTAATTTAAATGCATATATACAATTTTTTTTAAGTGCACCTCATAATAATTGTTTCTATATGTATTTAGTTGGTAAGCCTTTTAAATAAATAAATAAATAAATCAGATGGATGAATTCGATGCTCTCAATCAGAGAGGCAAAAATAGCGCTGTTTCAAACTTCGGTTGAGGTTGCAACTACAAGAGGCTGCCCGCAAGGAGGTGTTTTGTCACCCCTTCTTTGGACTCTTGCGGTTGACTAACTATTGTACAGAATGGCAGATCTACGCATTGTCAAAGAGAGCAGCATAGAGCCGTGGTAGCTCAGATGGTTAACGCTCGCTGTAAATATAACAGAACGCGCGTAACCCGTGTTCGAGCCCCGCCGACACCAATGAAATTGTTAATTGCAATTTTAAGTGCTGATTTACCACGTGCTCGGCGGTCAAGGAAAACATCGTGAGGAAACCTGCATGTCTGAGGAATAAGAAAAAAAATATTTCGAAGACATGTGAAGTTCGCCAACACGCATTGGGGCAGCGTGGCGGACACTTCCTTGATAACCCTCTCAGAAATAAGGGGATACCTGTGTCTAGCAGTGATAATGATAATGATAATGATAATCATAATTTATTGATAATGATAATTTATTATTTTAAAACAAGTAGTAAGTTGTTACAATATTGTTGGGCACCCTCTTTTAAGTAAATAGATACCTGTAGTAGAGGGCCCCGCTCTTCCTTCTTACAATTATATTACTACTTTAAATTAGAATTAAGTAAATAAATAACACAAAACAATAAAATAACAAAAAAAAAACATAAAAAAATCAAAAGCTAAACAATTTAAACAGCAAGTAAGGTATAATTAGCGATATTTGCGTGATAGTGTGAAAAAATGTGTGTGTGCATGGATGACCGTGGGAAGTCTGTATGAGTGTAAAAATTCATAAGGCAGTGTTTTCGAGAAGGAATTCGATTTCTTCATAGGAAAGTTTTCTTAACCAGTCTGTTACGTTTTTTTTACAGTCATGGTAATTCATAGAGTAAATATAGATTTTTTTGGTTTATTTTATTATATAAGTAAACTGAACGTCTAGTATACTGTCTTGATGCAAACTTAGTCTTAAATGAATCTTCATAGGGTATTTTATTTTTTTTTTTTTATTTTTTTTTTTATAGAAGAGGGGGCAAACGAGCATGTGGCTCACCTGATGTTAAGTGACTACCGCCGCCCATGATCAACCGCAACACCAGGGGGAATTGCAGGTGCGTTGCCGGCCCTTTAGAAAGGAGTAAGCTCTTTTCTTGAAGGTCCCCAGGTCGTATCGGTCCGGAAAAATCACCGGTGGTAAATTATTCCACAGAGAGGTTGTACGCGGAAGAAAACTCCTTTTGAAACGTACAGTGGTGGACCGCCAAGCATCCAGATGGTGTGGATGGTATCGGGACGTTTGCCGTGTAGTGCGTTCACGAAATTTGGCGGCTGGGATTAATCCGAACAATTCCTCAGAGCACTCCCCGTGATAGATGCGATAAAATACGCAAAGAGATGCAACATCTCTTCGCAGCGCCAGTGAATCGAGCCGATCGGAAAGCACTCGGTCGTCGACGATTCGAGCCGCTCTGCGCTGGATGCGGTCAAGTGGAAGGAGCTGGTACTGGGGAGCCCCAGCCCAGAGATGGGAACAGTATTCCATGAGCGGCCGAACCTGCGCCTTGTAAAGTTGC